AGATTACCAGCTGGCTTGTCATGTATTATGAAAAGAATAACATTTGCCTTAGAGGATGCTACAAGCCAGGAGCAGGACCCCGGGGAGCGGCGTGACAAATTTTTGTGGCGCTCGGTGATGAACTTGCCACAGTTCCTTAAAAGAATTGACGTGCCTTCGCCTCTAATTTGGGGAGAGGGGAAATGCTGTCGGAAACTTTATTTATCTCCCGCGGAGGGGAGGGGGAGGGAGTGGAGATCCTGCCATGGGGATGGTGTGGAAGGAGCAAAGTCGGAGCTTTTCTGCTCTGTGATGCCCCCCCCCACCAGTCTCTTTCCCACTTACAAGTGGGAGCAACCCCCTTTGACCCGAGGCTGGTTTTGGCTGCAGGGAGGGGGCTGAGCACTGCGAATATCCCCTGGCAAAGCTTTTCTGCACGCGCTGGGCTCCATGCACAGCCCCAAATTGGGTGCTGAAAGCTGAGCATCGACTCCAGGAATGGGTGAAGGGATGGGAGCCCCCCAGCCTACCTCTCTGCACCGTGAGGAGTTTTTCTTTCCCCATGTGCTCAATCCCTAGGGAGGAAAATAAACAGGGAGTCTGGCAAAAAGAAAGTGCTCCTGGGATGGGTGAGTTTTGTTTCCTTGAAGGAGAGGGAGAAAGTTGGCTCCTTGTCTCACACGTGCCACAGGAGAGCTGCAGAATCCCCTTTTTCCCTGAAATCAGTGCTTTTGCCCAAGCCCATCCTCCTTCCCCACGTCACGAAGCAGCCGCCCCGCGCACCCCCCAGTTCCATCTCTCCCTGAGGTGATGCCCGTTGCGTTATTGCTATTTATTAGCATCCAGCGCGCAGAAGAGCGCGGCGGTGCTCAGGAGTCCTGTCTTCTCATCGGGAGTGCTTGAATAACCCAGATGAAGCGGCTGACCTTGCCCTGGAAATTTGCAGCCTGTTGGGAGGCTGTAAGTGGGTCAGGCAGCTGGTGTAAATGGGAAAATAATCCAGTTCATGCTGCTGGCAGCCCGGCGGTTCGCAAAAACCAAGTGCAACCTGCATGGCCAGCCGTGGGATGGGAAGCCACAAAAAGAAGGTACCGAGCGCACGGGTGGCTCTGGCCAAAGCCTCGACCAGGGAGCTCGCTGTGGGGTGATGCTGGGGTCCCCAAAGGACTGGGGAGTCCCCAGAGGAGGCTCAGCTGCTCCACAGAAAGTGGTTGCATGGATGGATGTGAAACCCCGTGTCCTGGAAAAAGCCCCAGTCATGGATGGCTGGAAACAGCAAATGTCTCCAGGAATGTCAGCCATAACCCGGGCTGGATCCAGAGCAGTGTGGCCAGCAGGTTGAGGGAGGGGATTCTCCCTGTCTGCTCCGCTCTGGGGAGACCCCCCCCCGAAGTTCTGTGTCCAGCTCTGGGGCCCCCAACAGCAGAAGGACATGGAGCTGTTGGAGTGAGTGCAGAGGAGGCCCCGGAGATGCTCCGAGGGTTGGAGCACCTCTGCTATGGGAATGGGGTGAGAGGGTTAGAGGTGTTCAGCCTGGAGAAGAGAAGGCTCTGAGGAGACATTATAGCACCTTCTAGTACCTGAGGGGTCCGACAAGCAAGGTGGGGATGAGACTTGGAGCAACCTGATCTAGTGGAAGGTGTCCCTGCTCGTGGCAGGGGGTGGGACTGGGGGGGCTTTAAGTTCCCTCCCAACCCAAAGTGGTCTGTGATTCTATGAAAGCGCTGCATTCCCACACAGAGCACCCAGGTCCAGCCCCTCCAGCTCTGCTTTGTTCCCTCTCCTGTCCTTTCCCCAGTTTGGAGCCCGTGAAAGCACGGTGGCTTTCTGGCCACAGGCTCAGCAGCAGCATCTCTGCTCCTCCCCGGCGCTGCATTTCGGCCGTACCTGCCCCCCACTCCCTTAGTGCGCTCGGGGTCTGTCGTGATGAAAAGTGCTGAGGGATGTAAAGTATCGCTGCAGCTCCCTTCTACCTCCTTCAATCACTGCTTCGTTTGTCCCTCCGTTTAATGTGATCAAAACCTTCTGAAAACAAATCATTCCTATTTAAAGGAAAAAAAACCCCACAAACCCAAAACACAATTTCTACCCTTTATTTTCATCAGTTCTTATGGCTTTAGGCAGGTACTGTTGGATGATTCAATCACTGGTTGGACAAAGATGACATTTAATTAAGAAGGAAGGAAAAGGAAGCTAAAGAAAATAATGTATGCCTTCTTCTTTCTATATGAAGTGTGGAAAAAAAGAGCCGAGGAGGTTTTCTGTTGTGAAATGCAAGGTCTCATCTACAGCGTCAGCAACTTGGCTGCTTCGCAGCGATTCCTCCCCGTGATTGAGATCCAGCCTGGGCCACAACTCAGCCCCGTGTCTATTCATTTAATGGCTGACTCAATTTGGAAAACTGCAGCCCATCCATCTGTCCACCTGGTCCATCCGTCCATCCTCCTCTACATCCTTCCCGTTTCTTCATCCTTCTACCGCAGCGACTAGGTTAATCCTAAGAAAACCCCCCGAGCGTGGCAGGGGGAGTGTGACGGGGCGGCGTGGCCACGGCGTGGGTTCGTGTCAGCTGAGGTTATGGATATCCTGGGAAAAAACTGCGCTGCCATCACTCCTTCTGCTTTTCCCATGCCTTACACCGCATGGTGAGAGAAATGAGGAGGGGTAACCAAGCCAGTAGTCAGGTCAGGAGTGGAAATCAGCTCCTCTGCTCCTCTTGTCCCTTATTTATTCCTCCTGGTCCTGCTGCTGTTCTCCCCATCTCTGCTCCTGCACCCAGGGCTGAGTCTGGCAGCGGGTCAGGCAGGGAATGAGCATAGAATCATGGAACAGTTTGGGTTGGGAAGGACCTCAAAGCCCCCCCAGTGCCACCCACTGCCATGGGCAGGGACACTTTCCACTAGACCAGGGTGCTGCAA